GAAGAGCGTTTAAACATGCAAAACTACAGGAATTACATTTTTCAAAGAGCATATAATAAAATCATGGCATTTCTTATTGTATGACTTTATGGGAAACAGAAGTGTAACTGCTTCAAGAAGGGTAAGGCAACGATCATGGAAATTAAGTTTGCGAATGGTCATCAAGCACCATGATTACTGCACTACCTTCGGCCGAGAAAGGACCTACACGGCAGACAGCCAGGAACCAGGAGAGCGCGCCAGGACAAGGATCACTTGATGCCGCTATCTTAATACTGCTTTCGTTAATATTCGGTGGTGCTCAGCAGCTGCTGCTTGCCTACCAAATCTGTAGTCTCACTGAGTGGTGGCAGTCACACGCCAGCTAGACAGAGACTGGGAGGGCAATACCTAGCTGTGCTGCAAGAGAAGATGCGACTGAAGCACAAACTATGTCAGGGCAAGGTTAAAGCCACAGCAGCTAAGGTGCCAGTGCTTAACTCTCATGAGTGCTCTGTGTTCACCGTTTGAGGAGAGAAATCTGAAAAATGGCCACTCTTTGTGGACATGTCTGAAGCTAGACAGGCTGCAGTTCAGGAACATTTGATTTAAAATTGAGAGTAAACTGGAATAATCCAAAGCTCACAATTGAGAAACATCATGGCACAGTAATACAACGTCTAATGCTTTTTATTCTGTGCATTCTGGTTCTTAAGAAGCATCATTTAGAAATCATTTCAGTTCATCAGAGTTAAGATATAAACCCTAGACTCTATCTACCTCACTCTCACACCTTTGAGGTCTGTGTAAATACATGAGCTGACTTTTGCAATGCCTGCAACTTCGCACCAGGTAGCAAAGTTGTTCTTTGGAAGGGGAACACCTGCTGCAGGGGGTCAAGCCCAGGTCATTAGCTCTTGGGAAAAAACCTCTATACGACTTATGCGTTCCTTGTTTTTTCAACAGCATTGTTCTGAAGGGAAAAAACCCAACAACAAACAATGGAATATTTTGAAAGCATTGCTATTTTGAGGGCTGATGTGCCTCGGATGTTTTCTTCCTGCCATTTGCTCTTCTCTCCCTCAGTTAAGCCAAGCATCAAATCCCCGTCTATGTTACCTGAGGGACAGAAGCCTCCTACAAACAAGCAGCCTTAGGAAAGAACATTTACAGTGAAAACTGTAATTAATTAAAACTTGTTCCCATTCTGAAGTACTGCTAAAGTACTGAATTACCAGACAAGAGAAAGTCCCGATTTCCACCTCAGCTTTAAAGACGTCTTTACCTGGAAGCTTCTACAGCAATTTTCAAGAATTAAAAAGGAATGCAACACTTCAGTTTAAAATTGGGGAGAGGAGAAAAAAAAAAAAATAGTATTGACTTAAGAGACTAAAATTAACTGTCTAGCTAAATTTATAGCAAGGCAGGCATACAAGGGATTTGCACATAGAAAGGTATAAAGCTGCTGCAGACTGTGCTGCGCACGCTCAGTTCTGAATTAAAATTTAGTCTGCATCTTTTACTCATTCTACTGCTGCATTTTAAAAAGGAGCATAAAGAGTCATTATACCGCCTGTCTTCAAAAACACTGCAACATGGGGAAGACAGGGGAAGAGCCTGGTTTACTCTGCCTTGAAGGAGTTTTGCTACTTACAGAAGGGCTTTCTGATCAGGGAGGTAAAGACTAGGTCCCATGCTCTAGCATACCAGAGTTTAGACTTACGAATGTTTTGGAGCAGCACGCTTTGGAGTCACACCAATAACACCAGGCTATCAGACCCAGTCTCACATACTCTTACAACCCTCAAGTGACAGGAAAAGGGGATTAGTGTATGTGCAAACTACCACAAAGTGGACAATACGTTGGCAAAAGCAGCAGTAAGTGGTGCTGAAAAGAGACATCTTGGATGGGAGATACAATTACAGCTTAGAGGGTAGTGTAACTGTACCAATTAGTCCTAATTTAAGTTCTAAAATGGATCACGAAACATTTATAATCAGAATTAGACAGGACCAGATTTAAGCCAGAGAACACACTCCAGTCCTTCGCTCCTATGATTCAACACTTAACCAGACAGCCACAGCAGCCACCAGTTTTACCCAACGAAAACTAGAGAACAGCCCAATTACTGTCTAAGCAGAAAAATGCCAGGAAAATCTATGTCCAAAAGTGTCAAACATACCAGATGCTCTCTTTTTTATTAGCTTCAGGTAGTTCAGGATGGTGCACCTTGTGTCCACATCCACTTCCATGTTTTCAAGATAGGAATTCAAAATTGGGATCAAACCAGGAAAGACTCCTTCCTGTGTAAGAGAACAGAGTCAGCATAAGACACAGTCGGTCTGGTTTCTGGGAGAGCGGAATGAAGGGAAAGTTGTGTGTTCCAGGTACAAGAGGCTATGACCTTCCCATTGATAATTGTATCAATGCTCATTAAGGTGTACTCTTCCGCATCGGTGCCTGTCCCGTTCTGTGCAGAGCCACATCCATCCACAACAGCGTTTCCACCTTCACGAGTGACAAAGGGAAAGGAAAAAACGGTTAGAAGGCAAGAGATGGCACTAAACATCCACAACAGTGTTAATCAGATTGCTTGTTGTGATACCTTTGCAAATATCTTTTCTGAAGTAAAACATTCCCTGCCGGACAGCATCTCTTTTCTGGGCCATCTTCATGTTTTCATCCACCTGGCAAAAGAAGTATTGCAGATTTGTGACATTTTAGAAAATTAGGATTCTCCCAAACCCTCACCTTTTGGTCTCGTTAGTTGAAACATCTACTATGTTTCTTTTTATTTCACCACACAAGGCCAAGCTGTGGAGATAAGTTTTATTTCATTCTTCAGGGGTCCCAGGCAACACCACAAACAGATTACATTCTACGACATTAGGTCTCCAGCAGAAAAGGTATTATGTCAGAACGTGCTACGCTAATCTTATAAGTTTGGATGAAAACACAGGAACAGCTGTGATTAACAGGTTGCATCCCATCTGGCAGACTTCTTTGCATATTTAGAAGCAATTTAAATGAGTACAGAAGAAAAAAATTGCCATTTCCTTAGCCATAGTTTGCTGCTTTTATTAACAAAATCATTGAAGTATTTAGGAGAGTTATCACTACATTAAACAAACTTTCAGAAACAGAATTCCAGTAACTTTGTATGGGAATCTATTCCATAGGTATGGGTATCTATTCCATACCCAAACATCTGTTAGATAGTTAAACTTAGACTGCCAGTAAGGAAGTTCTAAATTGCAGGCTTCTCAAAAAGTCTACAAACTACAAAGCACTGCTCATGCACTCTGCAAATAACATAAGCATTGCTCTGTCTTTCTGGACAAAAGATTTTGTCCAAGTTCTTTGGTTGGTATGTTCTCAGGGAATTAACATCGCACAGGACATTAGCTTTACTGAATTGTCTTCAGAAGAAGGGATATTATTTGCTGAATTCTTTGTTTGACCTTTAATTAAGGGCAATGCAAAATATTCACTTCTTACCTTTCAAAGCTTTGCTTTCAGAAGTCTGTTTTTGTTCATTTTATATTATGAAACCTATTTACACAACAGGCCATTTTGGAAGTTTGAAAGAACTCCAGTCCTAGCTGACAGGAGTACAACCGCACTCAATCAGACAGCAAAGATTAGTGTGAGATTAGCCCCATAAACCTGTATTATTTTACTTGAAAGAGGCAGGCTTACCAATGGTTGTGCAATTCTGTGTTGCATTACCTGCCAAATTGCCTGGCAAGCTCAAGCAATTTTATGCCCGCCTCAGCCCCCCAGTTCTGCTCAGGTTCTTTCAGCACCCAACCTCTTTTTCAGTCTTAACTGGTATTCATTAGTTAAAAATTTTGCACTTTTGAGACATGCCAAATAACAGTGTAATTATGCACTGTAAGTCCTAAATTGCTGCATTATTTATGAAGTCTGAACTCCCTGACATCAGGAAGAGAATTTCTCCTTTTAGGAATCATACCAACTGTATGGTTTAATTACTCTTAATTTACAACTGCAGTATTTTTCTCCATTTTAATTAAAAACACTAAGAAAAGCCGCAGGATACTACTGCTACACTGTAGCCAGCGCTGGCAGTATTTTCTAGTACACAGCCTGTCAAAACCTTCGGCACTACAAGACCTTTTTTAAAGTTACCTATAACATTGCAGGACTATCCATTTAAAAAGACATTTTCTGGTCAGGTGCCTCAGAAAGAAGACATGCAAGGACAGTTTCACCCAAAACAGTTCAACAATTGTGAGGACAAGATTAAGGAAAAAGCACATTTTGTATGGCTGGTCTGCCTAAAGACAAGTCACAGTTGTGACCAGAACCAGCAGTATCTGTTTTCACTCAAATACTGTGTAACATTAAGCATGCTGAACTCCCCCTTTCCCTCTCCACCAGATACAAACAAAATAGAGAATAAGAAGATGAGACATAGGCAACAGCCATGTTAAAATAAATATCTAGAGTTTTTATTTTGACCTCCACAGGTTATTTTCCCCACATGCAAAATGGTGGAAACATGCCCCTTCCCAGTCTCAAAACAGTCTTGTGATAATGGTATTTCTCAACATTTCTGCAGCAGTCAGACACTGTTAGGCACTGCAAAAATTCCCACAGTATTTGACTATAAACTTAATTCCATGACACAGCAGTAAAATATTTGTTTAATATTGTTGAGTTGAAATTGATTCAAAGTACTGGTACAGATGAAAACTGACTGAAAGATAAAAATGACTGTTCTGTAAGTCCACAAATATTAGTTTCTAGCTTGCAGAGGATAAAAATCAGACTTGATACAAATATGTTGCATTTAGCTCTAACAGATCTGATCTTTCACACCTACCTTGGACAAAGGAATGAGAAAATCCAGTTTATATGACAGAATCACTCTGGTTAGCAATACCACGAACACAACATATGCAGAGTTTTCAAAGTCTGTTAACTGGACCTAGACATGAAAGGATTAGAGATTAAATTACTTTAGTGGGAACACACTCATGGAAGTGGATAAATATCTGGAAGAGTTTAGAACAGTTTGACTTGAACGTTCATGTTGGTACTTGTACTGACACACACTCTACTAGCAGAGATGATGCACGAGCTGGAATCATCAGCGATGATGATCAATGTGCATGAAATGCACAATGCACGGACACACGTCAACAAACTCAACTCTTTAATCCAATGCCAAAACACACTTGTGTTTCAAAAGACTATCTAATAACCTGTACCTTCAGGCTCTCTGTGTAATTACAAATGTATAATAGCTTTAAAATTTCCACTTTAAAGGGATTAAATTCAGAGAGCTCAGAAATAGACAGCTATAAAATAAAAGCACTTGCGAAAAACAAAACAGTGACAATGGAATTGTTCAGTACCAGGAAAAGTACTGGAGAAATACAGTCCCTAGAAGCTAAATGGGGCTTTGTTTACCGTTGCTTTAATACAAGCCTAATTCCTTTCCCCATCACCCCAAATCCATTAGCATGCTTTGCTGTGCTGCAGTGAATTCTCCTGTCAGTTACATTCCCACAGTCGATGTCTGATTAAACACTGCTGTCCACTTCACTCGCGTCTAGCAATTCAGAGGGGAGAAAACACAGCATAAGTAATAAGGGTTTGATACTGCATGGCAGAATGCCTGGTACTTTTCCACTTAAAAGGAAATGTGCTTTTGTGCATACTGATGTCTTCCTTACCTCCATAGGTCTGAATTCCACTCTCCATCCAATATCTGAATTTGGAGGAGGTGGCTTAAACCTCATTGTCTGCCAGTTTGTAGACTGAATATTCTGCAAAGCACATGAAATAATCTGTCACAATCAAGATATGCATCATTCTATAATACAATCAAAGAAAAATAAGCAGATAACTAGAGTCCTAATATTTTCCCTGGAACAGCCCATAAAGTTAGAGAAGTGCTTCCAAACTAAGTGGCACGACTTCCTAAAAACCACAGTATAACTACCCATCGTAGGAGCAAATACGTTACGCTTGCTCATGCTATTTTGTTTGAGGATTACATAGAAGATACTAGGGGGCTGAGATTTAGCTGACTTATTTTTATGAGGGTTTGATGCATCCCAAACTAAAAATGCCTAGTATTACCATAGCTATTATTTCATAAAGCTGTATAAGAGAGACATTTAGACGTAAGTGTCATGCAAAACAGTTTTTAGGAAGCCATAAAAATAGACAGTTCCCTATAACATAGCTACTGTTTGGGCTTTCCATATTGTATTGGGTTTAAAGCATAAGCCACCACCTTCTCCTAAATGATAAAACAAAGAGATAAATGTGTTTACAACTGCAAAGTCATATGCTGAAGAACTAGTTGAAGTGAAAAATTCACACAAAAAAAATTCTTAGCTAATATAGCCATCCTCCAGTTAAGCAGTACTATAAAGAATAAGCAATTTTATGTATATATTTATTAAATTCCTCTAAATCAGACACAACCTCAAAATGGTCGGATTCATTTGCATCATCTAGATGTATTTTCTCCTCAAACAAAGTCAATGGGTCTCGAATGAACAAGTGTGCAATATGCTGTGCCAAAAGGTGGTCAATACCTACAAAATGAAAATTCAAACAAACAATTCACACATAGCAAAGCAGGCTCTAGGAAATGATTTGTTTTACAAGAGTGAAAACATCCAACTCTGCAATGCTACCTTAACCCACCACATCCTGTTAAAGTTTAAATGACGACTTTGGGAAGGAAGGAAATGATTAAAGAGAAGGAAAAAAAAAAAACACCAAACAAAAAAGAACAGGTTCTTGTTTGGAAAAGGCAGCGGAATATTGGTGTGGCTGCCATTCTTCCTGTTTTCTGATGCACCTCTGTGCTATGTTTCCTAAAGCAGTTCTGCTCCCTCCACAAAGATAAAACATCAATGCGTCAAACACCGAGCTTCTCAAGTTGGAATTGGGGACAGTTTCTGTTACAAACAAATACTTTAAAAACTCTCAAGACCACGCTACACAGATACTTCCTGAGTAGGAGTCACTCTAAGGGATGCACAATGATTGAAACAAACGAGCAAAAACGTAAAATATCCCCACACACTGCAAGCATAATTCTTAACCTGCTCATAATGAAGCGAACACTTACCTTCCTTTATTAGGTGCTCGTAGATATCTTTGTCTATTGTCAAATCAATGTCATTGTATTTCTCACCACATTCAGATAGATAACTGTCTATGGAATCATATCTGGATTTACTGATTCTATAATGGTTGTTCTTCAGTGGCTATATAATTTAAGAATACAATATTTTAACAGCTTGTTAACAATGTTACCTAAGTTTTGCTCACTAATGACACTTATGTGAGAATTATTATCCTGTTTAAAAAACCCTACAGCCTCAATTAAAATTATTCAAAGCACGAGTCTTAAATAGGCTTAACAGAAAGCGATCCTGGAATTACGACTATTTTGTTTGTAGATGTATGTATCTGAGCGAAAAAAGAGTCATCACACATTGACTAGAATTCTCTAAAAGTGGAAACATTTTCCTGACGTAATATACCATTACCCCAAGTACCTGGAAAGTACCTATTGCAACACATACCAATACAGTTTCACTATGCACACATTGTTAGAGAAGCTCTTAAAATGGGTAGTTCAAAAAATATTTCAAGTAGATTTTTTTAATTTTTTTTTTATTCTCTATAATTTTGTAGAGTGCCTTGAATGCCAATTCCTGCTTAGAGAAGCTCCTTAAGTTCAAGTTCTGACAACTGGCTCTTTTCACATAGTTCTAGTTTATACTACTGGATTACTTGGCAGCACCTGCTATTTAATCCAAAGCAATTTTTGCTTTTTGGGCTCAAGCACAGACTTGAAAGTTTCATCACAGGGGGACCTTTTCAGCAAGCTGTGGAGGAGTGAGTGGAGTTCTACTGCGATTCCATACCTAACTAAAAATACGTATTTGCTAATGTAAACTGTACAACCAAGGCGAACGTTTACACCATCTCTCCTATATTTACTACAAAGACTGCCACTGCCATGTTCCCTCGTTAGGGATTCTGATGAATTTGATACTAAAGGAAATTTACTTTTTTGCCTGAAAAAACCCAGACATCTACTACCTAACATTACTTACCTCTAGCCCCCTCTCTTCTCGCGTTCGATCATCTACAGATGCAGAGATTACTCCCCAGCGACAGTCAATATCAGACACGTAGCCTCTGTAGAATGGAGATGCAGCACTCAACGCCATCTAAAATAAAACAGCCTGATATGAAAACAAAGGACAAGCCAAGGAACCAAAAGCAAAATACAACCCCCCTGGAAAGGGAAACTTGCTGGTCCAGAAGCAACTGAAGTATATACTTCAGTTTAATCTACAGCCAAAGCCCATACAACCACAAATCTCTCAACTGGTATCTCCAGAAAATACCTAGATGAAGGGTTAGTATTATTGAAGTGGCATCTGACTCTCTCCAAATTTACTACCTCTACAGATGAGCATTTAAGGAACACAGAGATGATACAGGCAGAAGCAATTTCGTGACAAATCAGCAAATATTCTGCTCACACACTTCCAAACTCCAAAAGTTCACCTGGCAATCATTTTATTTTGTTTATTTTTGTTTGACCAAGCACCTTAGCAACACACTGGAACATATCTCACTCAAAGCACGATCTGCTCACCACCTAGACCAAACCAATACTTTATTTTTATAACACCTGTTATAAACACCTGTTTATGACCACATGCTTACAAAAGGGACAGATTTAAACAATATAAGCTGAAACCTTCTGTAACACCAGACCAGAGTTGAAAAATTAAAAATTGTTTTTAAGGAGTAAGCTCGTCTTGTTTTCATGAAAAACTGCCCCAAATATATTTCTAGAACTATTCAACAAGAGTCTCGTGCATATGGGATGGAGGGCAGAGGAGAAGAAGCAGCACATCATCTGGCTTGTGGTGTCATTTAGACATTAAATAAATGGCACTGCTCATGTGACAGCCTAGCAAGAGACTGACACTTTTCCCAGAGTACCAAATTTGTGAGTAGCATTCAAGGTTTTTTTTAATTTAGATTTTATTTTTTTTACATGTAGTGGCTTTTGCACAAAGAAGAATTGATATACTACAAGTCCACTACTTACCACAATGGGACAGATCGTGGCTAGCTGATCATAGAGATACCTTGCTTCAGAAATGCTGCAAGCCTGGAATGTTACCTGTTGGAAAAAGTACAATTGCTATCACAATTTCTATAATCATAGCACAAGCACAGTCTTCCTAGATTTAGAATCAATGACATAATAAAACGATTTAAATACCAAGAATTGTAAGGGGTTTTTTTTTGCTTGGTGGGTTCGGGGTGGGGTTTTTTGTGGGGGTTCCCCCCAACCCCCCAATTCTCGGACAAACTGCCCCATCTGTTAGCAGCATTTACATCACAAGCTTCTTTCCACGTCATTTCCATGTTCATTAAAAGATTTCAGACCACAATGCTTCCGCTGTGAGGCTAAATATACAAACACTTGACAGAATCAAAGAAAACTGAGTAAACATCTACAATACACATGGGTCAGTAATGCACCTTCAGGAAATAAGCCAGGAACTAACTTACTTAGAACAACAGTTAGAAATTATTGTAGATGTAACATTTGTTTTACGTGACAGCTAATCCAGTTTGAAAGAACATTTCAAGACACCTTTGTTTGATCCTGCAAAACTGCGAAAAATAAATATCTTCGTGTCTACTGTAACTTTTATTTAAAAAAAAAAAAGTCCAGTTTTGCCTGTATTAGAGGCCAGGACACAGAAAAAGATGGAAGAGAAAAGTTATGTGCAGAAGCCATTAATGATGTCGAAGCCCTACCACACATAGGCCACTGGAAAATACAACTTCTTTGCAACTTTCGGTGAAACTCGCCGAGAGCAGTCAAACACAAGATGCATTTCTAGTAGCAGACCTTACCCTCCAAACTTCCCAAACTGACACTTTATGCATTTTAAAAATGCAGAGGGGGATCAATCACCTCAAAACTGTTAAAAGACACAGATTTAAAAAAAAAAAACAAAACAAACAGATTAAAAGCCTCTCTCCTTCTTTGCAGTTTACATACTCATAGATCAGAGGATAACTTCGATGGGAGTGTAACCCTGAACCACTACGAGCATACTGTAAACTACTTTACAGAAAATAGGTGGGGAATACATGTTTTCTTCTAGTCGGTTATCAAGAAGGTATAGCACCTGCCAACCTTGTTTTCATTCTCCCTTTGATGATAATAAGACTACCAAATTTGACCACTGATTACAAGAATGGAGAATAGTAAAATGGTATTCCTTAAAAAGGAATTTAATATATTTTTTAAACAAGTTCATATAATGACTGAACGGTAAGGCTGTACTTCTTTTATTGGTCTTAAATAAAAAAGAGATGGTACAAAATAGACCATATCCAACTTAACACCTTGTAAAACCACGCAGTATTATTATCATCAGATTCTCCCTAGTTTACCCTTAGTGACAAGAAATCATACTTAGCTGCTGTCAAGAACATTTTATTTATTCAGCTTTTGTAGTTTTTCAATCTCAAAGGGAAGTTCTTTGAATGGGGTTATTTCTGCCACTGCTGTGACACAAGAAGAGCTTGAAGAATTTCCTTTAATCCCCTAGAGACTTAACACTAGCCTATTCCCAGCTCTGCTTCTAAGATGGCAGTGGCAACAGGCAGATTTTATCAACAGTCAAATACATCGCTACTACCTAAGGCATCAGCCCCTAGCATCAGGTTACTATGACAGAGAAACATTTAAAACAAACAGATACTGAAAGGATTAAAGCACTCCCAAGATACAGCACCTGGATTTAAACAGAGGATACTGTAAAATAGTAGTAACTCAAGCAAATGAATGAAAACAATAAAAAGTGGGCATGCGTTAATGGGAGAAAACAGAACCAAGAATGTCTCCCAGCATGCAGTAACAGAAGACAGCTACCCATGTGGATTTGGTAGGTTCATGGCACAAGCAGTGAGAAGACGACTTCTTAGCAGATAGCTAAAAATATTTAATGAGAAATTTTATACAGGAGTTCATGCTGTTTGTAAATTAAGTAAAACTACACAGAAGGAGAAAGCCACTTATTTTTAAAGATATTCCAATGACTTTTTGTCACTCCCTGCTTTTGCTGTTCCAAGAATGGGGAAGAGGGGAAAAAACCCAAAATGAATAGCCAAAAAACCCCACACATTCCTACAAGGCACCTCAGTTTCCATTCCCACGGTGTCCCTTTGGTCATGCCTGAAAGAGGACGACAGTGGAAGATGATCTTTCACACTTGAAAAGTGCTGGAGTTCCAGGAGCAGGTGCTTGATCAAATGGGGTTTGACCAGTTCAAGAAACACTTCCAGCAAGGCATCCAATTACATTTAAATATTAGCAGAAAATAAACATAATGCAAGCAAACAAACCTGGATTTTAAGACTAGATTACCAGGTATAAGATTAAATTTGTTGTTTTATTCCCTCTGTTGCCACTCTGAAAATGCGTCAGTTAAATTAAGCTAGAGAAATCAGACTTAATGCAAGTCTTAAAAAGGAAAGCGTTTAGGGAAGACAACATTCAGTAACATCTTGAAAGCAGACGTATTTTACCTGAAGACAACAGTTTCCCATTCCAAAACCCATAGCATCCATGTATATATAGTCTGGCTTAGCCGCCTTTGCTGCTTCTCCATCATCATTAGGAAACGTTTCGATAAATGGTGATGGCGTGTTCTTATCTTTGAATACTGTGTGGAAAATGCAGGTACTCAGTAACCCAGAGCAGTAGATTGAACAATTACTTTGAAAAAGAAAAAAGATAGATTGAATTTACTCACTTGGTACATTTATCACAACCTTCTCTCCTCTTCGGTGCCGAATGTTTCTGGTCAGTGTACTACAACAAAAAAAAGTTTGCTGAAATATCTGAAAGTTTCTCTTTATGCAAATGTTTTTGCAGTTAGTTTCTCAGCAATTCTCAGGGTTTCAGAATGCCAACTTTCTATTTATTTTGAGCATTTTCCTTCAGGACACTTCTTTTCCTAGTTTAAGATAGACTACAACACTGATTTTTTTCTTCAGTAAAGTCAGTCTTATTTTGATAGACTTCACAGTACTATGCTAATAGAATACGCAGAAGTAAAAGGCTACTGACCTGAAGAATACAAGGGCAAGTGAAAAGGTATGCTTAGTTTTTAAATAGAATTATTTTCATTCTCCGAAGTCTCACCTTACAATGAAAACCCTCTCAGACTATACAAGCAGTTTGACACCATGCTCCACTTCAGAGTAACTAGGGCAAGTTACTGAGTACACTGAGATGTTTCTGTGACATACCTGAACGAGAGCTGGATTAACTGCGATGGAAGTGGCTAGCCATGGCATTTCAAACTGGAAATAATTTTGCAGTAGCCTAATTAACACCTTTTGCTCCATAATGGCGTGAACTACTACATAAAGTTACTTGAACTTAACAGTTTACTTTAAGTTCAAGTGACAGAAAATACATGTCGTCACAACCATCTCTGTCCAAGTCCTTGTGATATCTGCAGCAATTAGTCACATAGCTCTATTCCAGTAACATAAAGAAGGTGGAGTTATGCCTATGGTATTTAAGCACAGAAAAACATTCAGCTTCTCATTCGCACTCCCCAAATACTCTTACCTAAATCTAGGATGTTTATTGATGGCTTCATCTGGAAAAAAGAGGGATTTTGAAGCTCCTCCTTCTACTGGCGTTGGCTTATATTCTGGCAGTGTAAACCCAGGACACCCTAACCTATGTAACACAACAATGAAATCCAAGCTGTAATGAAAACACACTGTGATTTTAAAATGGTCAGATGATCGGAGATTAGGATTCTAGTAGACAAAGGAATAAAAAAAGATTTTTTTTAAAACTTGCATCTACCATGAGTATTTCTGAAGTGCTTTTTAAGACTGCTACCTATGCATATGGAATTGCCAGAAACACGTCTTAAAACCATTGCCGTTAAAAGGTCAGTGCTTGCCAACAACCAGCTACCGTGGTGGTTAAAACAGACTTTTTCAGCGGCTGAAGCAGGAAACACCACAGTATTATGCAGAGTACACACACATTTTAGTGTGTTAGCACCTGTCATTAATACTGACATGCAGCTGCATTCTGTGCCTTCAACAGTTTCTCTAAGGAGTATAGGTTAACATCGACTGCTGAAGTAATTTATCCAGCTCTGCTCCCAACAACCTCCCCCTGTTAAAAAGATGTACCTAACCAACTCTGTAAGAATTAGTTTCATGCGATACACACATCCCAAGTCTCACAGCAGTTTGTGATTTTAGAATTTTGAAAAACCCCATAAAAGAAATGTAATAAGCGAAGAAAAATTACAGCTATTAGGTGTAAAATGCTGAGAGATATGCAAGTAAATCAGAATACAACCCTCCCCTTTGGAACCTCCATTGTAAGTTTAAGAGTCATCTAAACAAGAATAAGTAGGTTTTCAGTACAACTGAGACAAAAGGAGCATTTGAGAAGTTGGAGGTAAAGTTGCAGAAGATTAATGTCTCCATGCTGCACAGTATAAAGGACGAAGATTGTGCTATTTTGAGAGGCTCTAATACTTGGAGGTGTAAAAAAGGGTTAGCTGATACAACTCCAAGCAAACTACTCAAAATACCAGGAAACGCTCACATTTCTGGAAATATTATTTATGCTCAACATATATTTCACTATTGCTTTCTTCTTCTTAGTTTAAGTATACAAGTCGTCCTACAACATCTAAACCCAACTTCATCACTTACATTAAGTGCAACACTGTAAACTGCATCACTCCAGTCCTCAAGGAGGAAAACAGCTTCCTGGCCCAGTAGCGAGGGCTCATAAATTTAAGAACTAGGGATACTCATTCAGCCTACTTCTTTACCTTTCTTCTGTCAGCACTCTAACAAGTTTTTTTGTCTTTTCAGATGCAGAGATTTTTTTTTTTTATGATACACACACGTATAGGCACAGACACACACAAGGCATATGTACAAGCTATTGTAGAGAGAACGTAGCAAAACCCCAAACCCACAAAACCTCAGAAATACACGTTAACAAGACTCCAGTCAAACCAACAGGGACTTGAATGACAAGATAGCAAAAGGCAGAAATAAGAAACTAAATAGCCTAGGGAGAGCATCTTTGAGGGATGAAACTATGTTTGGGATGATCCATAAGCAATAAAAAAAACCTACACTTTATTATTTATTGGCTTTCACTGAAGTCCAATGTATTGCTCCTACAGTGATGTAAAAAGTATTTCTCTGTATCTACAAAGTGATGAAGAACTCCTCTCTCTTTATTCCTTGCACAACTGGGTATGAAATGTTTGTATACAAAATTTATTAAATGACATAATCTATTTGTAAGGTTGCAGGGCAAAAAAAACCCCACAACAGTTCTGTAACACACTGAGAACTACTTAACCATTGGACTTTAAATAAGCTCTTATTACTTTAAAGATATCTAGTATAGCTCCTAGAACGAGGAAGCATATTTTGTTAACAGAATGTTCTTAAAATAGCATTCACGGAGCACAACGCAGGCATTTTGGTACCTGAACTTTGCTGCTAAATCACATTTTGTACCATTCCTGGTCTCAGCAAGAATTTAAGGCCATTGCATTCTGTACAGTACAAGAAACCAGCCAGTAAGGCCAGCTGCTTCTCTTCTACTGCAGAGCAATTTTTTTTACTATTTTAAGCATAACTATCTTCATTCATTTGATTGACCAGGCTAGTTAGAATGAACGTAATAAACCCCTGCCTAGAATTATGTTTGAAAGGAAGGTCACAAAGTACAATTTCTCCTAGGTAATGAAGTACATCCTGAATTTCACTTATTCAAGAGCCTCTTTACAACAATAAAAAGAAGGAAATCTACCCTTTGTAAGGGTGTTATGAACTCAGGAGAGGTGCACTCCTTTCTAGATTCCGTAAGTACAGTATTATAGAAGTTTTAAGGCTTCATTTTGTAAGGATAATCACATTCCTGTTTTACTGTGTGCTTCAAGCCACCACAAGAAGTTTGCACATGCTTTAGTGAATAAGTTAAAAAATAGATCAGGTTAGCCAAGTTTTACAAAACTGCTATTTATAAAGACCAAAGGTTGCAAAATAGGTAAAGAGAAACCTTTTATATATGATTTGCCATATCAATTCAAGATGGCAGACTACTCTACATACAATATTTTGTTACAAATATTCAGGTATTCTCTCCTAATACAAAATCATCACAGATTAGAAGTAACCTAAAAATACAAAATATCCTTATTTGTTTGTCTCACTGCAATAAAAATTTTCGGAAACACGACTGGATTATTAAGTCAAAGTACTTCAACTGAATCTTATTTTGCTTAGTTTCATTGTATACTTTAGCTATATGCAATAAAGAGAAAAAGCATATAAGGAGAATAGCAAACACAGCATTACACTTCAGCAACCACCTCACCTTGGAAATGATGTCACAGTGCAAACAGCCTCATTTTCTTTGAGCACGGAAGCGGCCTCTTGCCGTCTTTTCCTCATGTTGTCTTGCACAGTGTTGAATTCAGACATGGTTCCCCCATACGGCTGCCCAGGTGTCCCTTCAATCATATAGCTTCCATATTCTGGTCGCCAGAGTGTTGGGTGGCTATAATAAAAGAATAGCCTCGTTTAAATATTTCTACAGCTTCAGAAAAGATTAATTATTTGTGAGAATTTCAGAAATGAATGCAACTTGCAAGAAAAATCTCCTAAAGTTGATTATTTGGTGGAGTAACACAATGTACCTTCCAATGTACCTCACCAGCGGGAGGCAGTGAAAAGAAATTAAGGCACGGTTTGGCAGTAGGAAGTATTGCTGTACAGTGCAATAAGTAGGATTTGTCTATGTCAAACTACAATCACCTTTGGTATCTGCCTCAAGCTTTGTTTCTTGGGGTTTTAACTGAAACTGGCAAATACAGAACACTCAACTGCTTCCACAGTACAAGGCAAGGCAAAAGTTATGCTCAATTTCTTCTTTTTACTGGTTGTGAATACCTGGTCCTGTTTTGCAAATTTATCAGGTTAAGAAATGAAATTAAGTTTGAGTGCACCTAGTCACCTCTGAAAAGTAGTACCTTCCCATCCCCTTGTGAAGCCATGCCAGAGGCACATCTCCCCTACTGTTCTTCTGGCAGTAGCAGTTTTGAGTCTAAAAGCAAAGGGATTCCTTCTTACAGGCTTTCAATAGTCCCTCTGCCGAGGAAGACAGACAGGGAAGCCTTACTGGAAGATGAGGTTAAGGTACCTAGAAAGAAAAGGACAGGCCCAGGGAACAAAAGCCTTTCATCGCGACAGCAGAGCTTCTCCTCCTTCCTGTAAGCTGCGACCTGCTTTTGGCTCTCTTCAGCCAAAGCACTTTGCTGTCTCTGGTCTCATTTATCTGCTGCCATCGATTAAAAGGCAATTCACACTTCTCTGGCTAGTTGAAGTAGGGATATGATCCAGTTGTTCCTGAAAACTCCATCAGAGAGGATGGGGAAGAACTGCCCTGCTGTCCTTACACCTACCTTCTTAATTTTGCCCAAAATAGGAGCGCAGTCTAGCCCTCACTCGCTCCTGTAGTCAGGGACACAGGGGCGAGTGCGCACACACATATGCTTTATGGGGGAGGGGAGGTGTAGTATGCAATTACTGTGTACACGCAGGCACAAAACCAGAGCAAGACAAAACAAATACCCGAAGTGCAACTTCTGTGGGCTCACCATCACATCCTCCTCTTTTTTCAAGTCATAACACAAAAGGTGCATGGACTGCCTGCAAGTGTGCTCAAAATCTTTCAATGCCTGCACCCCAGCTTCATCTGAAAATATCAGTATCTATGGCTTACAGTTTTACCGACAGAAGACTTGAAAGTCAAACCAGGCCTACAAAATTCTGTACAGTATCATAACGGGGTGGGGGGAAGAGAAACAGGAAACAGCTACTCACTTGGGGTTTACCTTCTCCCCCTTGTCTTGCAGTGTTTGAAGAACTTCTTCACCGCAGAGTATCAAGCGCACTTTCTTATTCTCATGGTCAAATTTTACTAACATATACTCCACCTTGTAAATAATAAAAACAAAATAAACAATTAAATGGTAATATTTTGTTCACACACAAACACACCGGCACATAATTTTAAGCATCAAGTGAAAAAAAAAAAGAGGGATGTCAGACTGAACTTTATCTCTACAGAAGCTTAAAAACCATCACTAACTATGAATGCAGTAAACAATACCACAAAAGATGCCTGCATGCTTATTTCATCTTGAATAAAGAATTGAAATTCCTTGAAATCGGCCTTGAAAATTTTTTCCCTCCATTTCTAATTGTGGATATTTTGCAAAAAGATTCCTGAATTTGTATTTGCCTCCACATCATTTTTCAGACAAAAAAAATTAAAACCCTATGCAAGCTATTAACCACTCTCTGTCATCCCATGAGTTACAGTCTCTGCTCCTGACAGCAAACAAACCAAAAAGAGTCATTCTACAAACAAAACATCCATTTACACCCATCACTTCTTGGAGCTATTTAAGACTAGAACGACAGAGCCTCATTTACACCACGGAAAGCCCACGTTTGTTACAGACAGCATCAGTCCCGCTATTAACGCACTCCAGCTCTTGGCACAGCACAGGGGTTTCCACCCCTTCTTGACTCAGCTTTGCCACGACCTTTTCTTCCCCTCCTGCCCAGCAGCGTACCTCAGGTACCCCAGGACCTCTGCCTCCTCGTCCCTGTCCCCACCCCAGGGGTGTGACCCACACTCAATCCAACAAGCACTAACGACAGCGGTGCTGTGTCCCAGCCCCGGAGATTATTGTTTCCCTAACAGAGATTATCTGAAAGCAGCCAAACCTGGAACACCCTCATGTCAAACTTTCTAATCTCCACGCATACTTGCTATCAAAGCTCCCGTAAGGACTTCGAAAGCGCCACTGAGTATAGCAACCCGACAGCCGCCTGGACCTCACAGCCCTTCAATATTGACCGATACAATCCATTTCCTGATGCCTACTCGGCAGAGGATGCTTTGTGCTGTTCTAGGAAGTGTGAAAGACAAAACAGCCCTCAAGTGTGATGTGTCACCTGCCACGTAAAAGCAGAAGTCGTACATGGAAATGCATCACAAGGGTATTGGCTTTGAAAACCTCCGGCTGGACCAGCAGTGATATGCAGAGCCTTTTGTCGGAGGCTCTTAAACCGTTGCCTCTGAGATTTTCACAACTCCGTCAACCTGTAGTTAAAACTTCAGACTGCACTTCCACAGCTAAACTTGTCAGAGGTTTTGCACTGTGCTCCTCAGTTTTGTTTTCTGACGCTGCCTAGAGCCGCATCCACCGGTACTTACCAAACACCACCGCTTCAGCCCCAGCAGTTCAGATTCATGCGAGATGCTGATGTTAAAGTTGCAGCATACCAAATCATAGAAACTTCTATTTTGTACAGAAGTCTGATGCACATAGGAAGACAGCTTGCCAAAACACAGGAAACTTGTGAAGTGTTTTCCACCACACTGTAAATGGATTTGTGGGCTTCATGTTCTTTGGTTGCTTCAGTGTTCATGGAAGAGTTATTACTAGCTACTGTGACAAGAAGTATAACCCGCTATTGGGATTTGCGACTAAATCACAAGCAGCATTATCCAAGAGTGTTTATAATTCTACAGAATCTGATTAGACACAAACTCTGGAGAGTCTCATTCAGCAATTACACGTGTTCTCTATATTCTTTAAGATCAAATTTTAATCCTCTCAAGAAAAAGAATGATTTCTAGTTTCTGTGCAAGACAGCTTTTTTTTGTGTGGTGTACTTTGTGGTTTGTGTGTATTATGCCACAATAATCTACTTGAAAGAACTACAGACTATAGTCAACCAGAATGCACTCCAGCACTGATTTAGTTATTATCTAGTACCAGTCTCTCCAATGACACTTCACCCACAATTACTGGCAATAAAAAAGGACTTCTCTCACACCTTCCAGTTTTTCCTACCATGTTCAACATCATCTCCTCCTGCTTTGGAAAAGCATCATCCTCAGTTGGACCCAGCCTAAACTAGAGGAGGTACGCAAGCGCACAGTCCTCCGAGTCATACAGACGGACACGTGAATGGGCATCAAGCCCACCGCACTCCTGGCCTCCCACCACACTGCCCGCGTGGGCTGGTAGCAGAAGGGAGGGCAAAGGAACTGCAGCTGCCTTTGAGAGACCCCAAAGCTGAGCACTTGTCCACCGTTACATGAATATATTACTATGATTAGCCTCCTGTCTTAAAAATCCCTCTCCAAATATAACTGCAATGAGCTGGTGGTGCAAACACTGTACTTCTCTATAAACCGTATTACAAGTTTCACGAAAGGAAGTAAGCCAAAAGCATAAAGAAACATTAAGCCAAGAAGGCAAAACCAAAGAAAGCAAAATGTTTCATAATCTGAGTGCAGTACTGAATATATGGCATTTATGCATTTAGCTTTAGAAACAACTGCTACTCTTGCCTCTGGAAACATTGACCAAAATCTTCAAAGCTGTCTTAACACACAGAAGATCTGCCATTAATTTTAATGAGAAAAGAAAAAAAACTTCAGATGGCTGCCAACAATTCCAAGTAACCCACAGAGTATCTTGCCAACAGAGGGACTGACTGAATGGGCATCCTTAAAGAATTTAATTTAAGCTCATCAAAAGACTTAGCCTACAGCTAAAAAGAGAGAAACAAATTCAGAGTTCACACAATTTTTACACTTAACTTCAGCTCGTCATTCACAGACTTCTCACATGTTTTCTATCCACAATAAAGTTCAGAGAATTGCAGCCAAGCTGAAAGCATCAGCACGCCTGGCAGAGCTTCGAGTCCAAAAGCCAGATGTGTGGGGTTTCACCCAACATTCATAATTCATCATTTTGTCAAGCTCTTTAGAGTTCACTTTTCTCTCTACTTTTAACTAGTCTCCCTAGCAAGCAGCAAAATACACGTTAGGTCACATTACTGATGCAGATGGCTGACAAGCAGCCTTGCTAAGAGCCTGCTAGGAAAGCGCACCCTGCCACGGTAAGAAAGGCGGCCACTGTGGACCCGTGTGCCCATCCGGTGCTCTCACCCTGCAGCAAACCCTACGCATCTCTATCCTCCGGCTGGCACGTGCTGCAAGGCTGCCGAGGACAAGAGGTGGCCTCCCAGCTTCTCCCTGCAGACAGACACGCACAGCACTGCTTCAGTGGATGAACCTCTCCGACCAGCCCAGGTCTGTCTGGCTTGCAGAAGTGCTGTGGCACTTTACCAGGAGAAAGAACAACAGTTGGGCCAGCAAGGTTGCAAAGCAAAAGCTGTAAATACACACACACACACACACACACAGCAAGCCTAAAAAAATCATTCAAAGTTAAACACATTAAAAAAGCAAATAAATTCTCAGTTAAAGCAAATAATCTGAGTATAAGAGATCTACCCATGAGCCAGCTCAAAGAAAAATTATTCTTTACAGGCTTCCTTCCTCTCAACTACTGATTTGAAACGTACTGCATCTACAGAGTACTTCCATGCCAGCTCCGCTCCACCGCCGTATCTTCTAGGGAAGGAGTATGCACCATTAGCTTGCCAGCAGGACAGCACCCAGAATGGTGTTACTTCACTTGTCACGATTATTTCTCATAGTCGGCTACCAAGGAAATTTCAGGCTTTTGAAAATTCTTTGACGTCGCCTCTGTAAATACAACCACAAGTGAGACCCTGAAGCCCCTCAACTGGGGAAGAGCCAAACCACTCCCCATGCATTAAACCAAAGAGTTGTGCTGGACCTACCCAGTGGCAAAGTGAAAGATGATCGTTCTCTGGAAATGGGTAAGCGTGTCTGAAATTGTGTTTGAATGCCTGAGTTATTTGACCATAGTTACACATATTATTTCTGCATAAAGCACACTACTTAAAAGTGAAGAAATATCAGTCAAGCGACTCTTTAGCAATTCTATGAAACAAGAAGAACTGCAGTCAACGCATGTTCCACACAGTATCACTGACCAAATACTTGCCTCGGCAGTGGCCTGCTTTCCAATATCAAAACCCCTCCTCGCACACTCAATTTAACACCACCATGCTAAGTACACTGGGAACAAAACCTATCTAATAGTTGAGAGTAAAGCCTCTGCTCCAGAGTTAATGTTAAAAAATCCTTTTAACATTCAAAGTATCTGCCACAGGTATTTCTGCATATGAAAACACAGGTAAGCATACAGTCTGGACTTTGGTAAGCTCAGAAGTAAGGTGTGAGAAGAGTATATAATAGAGGAAAATAGTTTAAGAAGAATGATCTGAAGAGCAGCTTTTTTGAGAGGAAAGCAATGCAAGTCTGTCTGCTCTCCACCTGTGAAAAACAGTTCCCTGTATTTGCCTTTTACCACACTCCTGATCATCTATCTCAGCTGTGGATGCCCCATCCCTGGAAACATTCAAGGTCAGGTTGGATGGGTCTTTGAGCAACCTGATCTAGTGGAAGATGTCCCTGCCCACAGCAGGTGGGTTGGACTGGATGATTTTGAAGGTCCTTTCCAACCCAAACCATTCTGTGATTCTAAAAAAACCTGATCACGGGTGACTCACAGACCACCGCTGTTCCTCAAGGACAATCTTATTGATAGTTTCTTTCTCCTTCCACTGAGCAACTATTGCCACGTGTACTTGGAGCAATTGTCAGCAGTCTCCTCATATGTGCCTTCCCCTCAGGCCTGGAGCTTTAAGAGAAATTGGAAACTTTTCTTGAACACCCAATGAGGTCTCACGGCTTTTGTTTACTATTACCAAAAGCCACTACAACACTTAATATAAATATTTTCATGCAGTATGCCTCATATATTTATGTATACAGTAGAAAATAAAATTGAGGTAAACTTTCTTCTCAAGAGCATCAAAGAAACAAAACCTATTTCACTAGTTATTAAGCTCCATTATGGCAAAAAAAAATAGTTCTCCCATACATTTATTGGTCAGTTAATGCATCATTAAAATACCATGTATCATTAAAATGACAGTCTACAGGAGAACAAAGTTTTAATAGTCTGACTGTTCATTAAAGACCCTCTGCCACAAGTTTTCAGCACTAAGATGGAAAAAGCAGATTTTTTCC